CCACAGTCAGAGGTGAGCGGCTGCAGGAGCAGAGGAACTGCAGGTGCAGCTGAGTGTCATCGTCTCTGGAACCTGCCCTCCAGCCCTTAAAAATGGAGATAATGGATCTAAAAAAAGGGGAATGTGTGTGTTGGGTGTGCAGACCTTCTGGGCATGTCTTTGAGTAGGACATTGAAAAAGAAGGCAGCAGTGTGGCCAGGAGCGTGGACCCCAGAGTCTGAAGATGGCCCCTGCTGGCCCTGCCTTCTGCCGGGTGTGGGCTGGGGTCGCAGCCACCTCAGTCCCCACATTGAAGAGAAGGAGGAAATGGCCCGGGCTGGCCCTCAGGGATGGGGGCGCTGCCTGCCAGCTCTGACAGGATGCCAGGGCACGCAACCATCATGACCCCCAGTAGGTTGGATTTTGGGGGGAGGTTTGCTTTTTGGGTCACACCTGGCGATGCCCAGGGGTTACTTCCTGGTTCATGCACTCAGGAAATACTCCTGGCGGTGCTCAGGGGACCATATGGGATGCTGGGAATCAAACCTGGGTCGGCTGTGTGCAAGGCAAATGCCTTACCCACTGTGCTATCCCTCCAGCCCCTTGGGGGGAGGTTTAGAAAGTTCAGGCGCTGTGGGGGAAGGGACGGTGCCACGACTGCATCTGCCCCACGGTTGCTGCTGTGTTTTAGCCTTTGACACCCTTCCACACAGGCGGGCCGGCTTGCAGTGGTCCAGGACTTGCAGTGAGGACCAGGCCTGCAGACCAGTGGCTTTCAACTTGCCTCCACACGCGGCCAGCACGGGCCCCTGGTGAGGGCCACTGCCCTGAGTCTCTGCGGCTCCCCTGATGGCCTGGCGCACAACTTCTCCCTTCAGAACCCACGGGACCCCTTTCCACACCTGCGGAGGCTTCTAGGCATGGCACCTCCTCACCCTCGCACCAAGTTTGGAGAGTTTCTGGCTTTATCAAATTATCTACGTGTGTGCACACACACGCGCGCGCGCACACACACACACACACACACTATGAATGTTAGAGATGAGCTGTAATCCCTGTGAATTCCTGGGGCTGTTAATTAAAAGGGGGGATTGCCCTGTGCCTTTGGGGGTGTTTCCTGGATGCAGGGGCCCATGCTGAGGTGATGGAAGTGGCTGAGGTGGCATCCCCTCCTGCCGAGCCGGGCCCTGGGGAGCAGCGGTGGAGCTGACCAGCCTCTGCCTGCAGGCACGGCCGCGGAGCTCCTCGCACGGAACGAAGCCACAGTTTCCCCCTCCAGCCCTGTGCTTGTCTTACCCCTTTGTTTGCCTTCTTGGTGTTCTGCCAAACAGCCTCTTGTGAAAGGACCGCCTAATTAACCCTGTGCTAATTAACAATTTAAAATTACACAGTGCGACTGTTCATGTTTAATTCTCCAGGAGCTGAAGCAACAGCGGGAGCCCCCTCCCCTTCCGGATCAGCCCTCCCCCCCCCATAACTGTTGCACGGGCCCTATCTCCCCACGGGAAGGTGATAACTGTGTCCTATGCTCTCCCTAAAGAGCGTGATGGATGACTTTGTTAATTGGGGGGGTTGGGAAGGGGGAGATGGCGGGGAGGGGAGCTGGGGAGGGTGACTTGCTGCCCCTTTGCGCTTTTGAACCAAATGATCTTTGCGGAGTGCAGAGTTGGATATTGGCAAAGAGGCGGTGGGGGTGCTTGGGGGGGGCAGCGGGGAGCCTGGGGGAGTGTTTATGGGAGAGGATGCGGGTCTGACTGTTGGTGGGGGGTGGAGTGGGATGCTTCCTGATCAAGATGTTGGAAGTCTCAGGAGATGTGTCGGCAAAACCTTCCTAAACTGTGGAGCCCTAAGAGAAGCCGCTGCACGTGGCCGGGGCGTCCTGGGGGAGGGGGCAGGGGGGGCACATCTGTGTGTGAAGGGAGTTTTGGGGTGGACGCTGCCTGAGTGGTGACGTGCGAGTGAAGGGGGCGCAGAGCCTGGGGGGGGGCTGGCTGTAGGAGCGGGGACCCGCCGGTTCCCAGGCCGCCCGCTCTCACCGAGGCGCATTGATTTTACGGGAAACCGTGTTTACAGACAGCGCCGATCGACCTGCCGAGTTGACTTCTGCCTCCTTTAAGTAAGAACTACCTTTTCCTTATTGACTGCCTGATAAACAGCGGGAGGGAGAGAGAGTCGCCGGGGCGAGAGCGAGGGGTGCTCCAGAGTCCCGGAGTGGGAGGCCCCCTGTGGGCGGGCTCCGAGCCTCCTGCCCGTCCCCTTGCTGCTCTTCCCAGGTGCTCGCGTGGGACCCCAAGTGCCCGCTGCCTGGTCACGCGTGTGAGTGCCCATTCAGGTGCCAGGTGCAGTGAGACGGGCCGTCCTGGGAGCACCCGCGCCTTGTCTACAGCACCTAAGCGCCTCTCCTGGGGGCCGAGTTATGATGCGGAGTCTGTCTTGGGGGCTGGCTCAAGAGTTTGCTCTGTCCCACGTGGATGGGAGGTGCCATGGGTCCCAACAGCTGGCTTCTTGACAGTAATATTCCAGGAGCTGCTCCTCTGACCACTGTGCTCCGAACACATCGTGATGAGGGCTCCTGCTTCTCCCCCCCCCCCCATGTCTTCATGCACTCTCATCATGAATGACCTCCCTGAGGTCCCCCATTCCCCATCTTGGGGGCTGGCGTGACCCTCTGGCGTCCGAGGTGACTCCCATGGCGTTTGGGAATAGAAAGCTGAACGAGGGGCTGCAGAGCTGGTCCTGGGGTTAGGGCGCTCTGTGATAATCCCCTGCATCTGGTAGCATGGCTGAGTGTGGCCCGGGAGAGTCCCCGACATGGCTGTGATGTCCCATGGAGGGAACAACTGTACCACATCCTTCGACTCTGCCTGTATTTGCTGGGACGGGTCCTTGCGGCTCTTGAACACTCCTTGGACCACTCCTCCCACCCACCCCCCCAAAAAAAAAACCCCCATCTGACTTCGGCGAGTTTTCAAAAGTTCCAGCCCCTTAACTGGATGATTTGTGGAGGGCGACACAGGCAGAGCGGGAAAGCCCACCAATTAATTGGTAAACGCTCGCAGATTTCTCGGCCCGGCCTGGGCTGGAGAGGAGATTGGCTTGGCTGTCGATGCGCAGGTCCCTGGTGAAGCATCAAAGCCCTTCTCCTTTATCAATCGTGGCCTCCCCTTCCCGCATGTTCCTGTAACTTACCAAGCATTTATGACATTGATTTTACAATCGGGCTGTTAACCCTCCCGCCCCCTTCAGGCCTGCCAACCTTTCCGGCCCACACTGTCAGTCAGACGTCGCCCGCCAATCAGGCACGTCCTGCAGGAGCACCCTGCCTGACCCACACCTGCAGCCCCGCTAAGCCTGGCCAGGAAGCTCCATCCATCGCCCCAGCCATTCGCTTTGGCTCCGCGTGGTCCCTCCCGGTCTGAAATCAATAGCATCTCTCCTCATGCTCACAGAGTCTCGTTGTGATGGAGTTTGATGGTACCCGCAGAGAGGCGGGCACGTGCACGCCTGTGTTCCCAACCAAGCAGGGCACTCACGTTCTTCTTAAAAGTTCCTTCTCTGGAGCCTTCTGGTAAACCTGCCTTCCCCATCTTTTCCCGAGGGGGAGCTGTTGGCTTGCTGAGCAGTTACGAGTCTCTAAGAAGGAGAAAAAAAAAGAGAGAGAGAGAAGACAGGGGTGGGTGGGAGGGAACCCAAACCTCCATCCTTCACCCACCAGGTATGAATGACACAGTGGGTGGAGAAACAGCCAAGTGTTGTCCGGGAAGGCGTCAGGGGAGGCTGGCCTGGATTTGCAGGGGGAACGCTTAGCCCCGAGTCACTGTGGGAGCAGGGCCAGGACGGAAGACATGGCCCCGTGTGGCCGTGAGCTGATGAGACCGTTCTTCCCCGGGATACAGGTCTGAGAGGGCAAACTCCGCTGTGGCACTTTGGAGTCGGAAACGGAAAAGTCCCTGGGCTGGAGGGCAGGTGCCGGACTGGGGGCTAATAGCTGAGAAGCCCATGTGGAACAAGGCTCGGCCCAGCTGCCTCCTCTGTGGTGGCTGAGTTTCTTGACAGCCCAGCCACCAGGGCAGGGGTGCTGGTGTATGTGTGTGTGTGTGTGTGTGTGTGTGTGTGTGTGTGCGCGCGCGTGCGCGCATGCATGCATGCTCACGCACATGGTTGGCTCTGGGATATGAGGGGACCCTTTCTTCCTTGAAACCTCCAACTTGCAGCCTGTTCCTCCCTATTTTTAGTCTGCAGCCCGCTGAGTCACACGCAAGGGTGTTCTCCAGTGTTGTGGGGGAGGAGACGGAAGATACCCGCCTTTTCGTTCCGAGTGTGTGTATGGGGCAGGGCCTGGGCCCCGGCTTTGCTGACTGCCCGTCGCCTGCCCAGGCCCTTGAGGGGGCGAATGCAATTGATGGTCGCCGAAGGGGTCGTAAGCTTTGGGTCTGTAAGCTTTGCCCTCCGAGCCCCGTGGCCTTCCTGAGGAGGGGGATGGCATAAAGGCCGCGGGCTGGGCCGGTTCGCCTGCTGTTCCCGCACCTTTACCGTCCTTCCCTGGGATGGGGGCTGAACCCCCGTCTCTGGGTCCCCAGCACTGCCAGACAGCGCCAGCCACTTGCGCTGCCCTTCTGTCCACCCTGCTGGTCTGCCGTAGTGTCCCCCATTGGCCTGTCCTCCCTCCTGCCCTCCCTCCCCATCTTCTGCCTCCTCCGTGGCCTGGTGTCCTAATGCTGAGGTGGGCTCGCTCAGAGCCCCCGATTGGCCCACTCCTGGAGGGGGAAATTCCGGGCCCCTGCCCTGCACCCCCCTGAGGGGGGTCATCTGCCTGCCCCCTTCCCCCCAGACTCTCCCAGGTGCCGCGTGGGGTCCCGGCAACCCCCGCCTGCCGCCTGTCGGGGGTGTGGGCAGCAGCTGCCGGGGTGCCCAGCTCGGGGAGCCTGCGTGCGGGACCTGAGCCTCGGCCCTCCTAACCGCTTTCCTTTCTCTCTCTCTTCCCCCTCTCTCCCTCCTCCCTCCCGGCCTCCGCCCTTCAGGTCCGATCCGTACTGGGTGCAATGAGAGCTCCACGCGGGCCTCGCCATGGAAGGCTGTGACTCGCCCGTCGTCTCGGGGAAGGACAATGGGTGCGGGCTCCCTCAGCACCAGCAATGGACTGAACTCAACAGCACCCACCTCCCCGACCAGCCTGGTAGCATGGAGCCGCCCGCCAGCGAGAGCCACGGGCCCCTGGACGGGCTGAGGCCCCCCTTCAATGAACGTCTGGCGGAGAGCCCCACCCCGCCCGGGGCCCCCACGGCCGCCGCCGCTGCCGCCGCCGCCGCTGCAGCCCCCGAGCCGCTGCCGGCAGCTGCCCCCGAGGTCAGCTGCAATGAGTGCGCAGCCTCCTTCGCCAGCCTGCAGAGCTACATGGAGCACCACTGCCCGAGCGCGCGCCCCCCGCGGCCCCTGCTCCAGGACAGCGCGAGCGACAGCAGCGAGGAGGGCGAGGAGGAGAGCGACGTGGAGAACCTGGCTGGGGAGATAGTCTACCAGCCGGACGGCTCTGCCTACATTGTCGAGAGCCTGGGCCAGCTGGCCCAGAGCGGGGGGCCCGGCGGCGGGGGCGGCCCCGGGGGCGGCAGCGGGGCCCTCCCTTCGCTCTTCCTGAACTCCCTGTCGGGGGCGGCCGGGGACCCTGCGTGCGCGGCGGCGGGGGCGGCGCCCGCCTACCCCCAGATCATCAATACGTTCCACATAGCCTCATCCTTCGGGAAATGGTTTGAGGGCCCAGACCCGGCGTTCCCGAATACCTCAGCCCTGGCGGGGCTCAGCCCCGTCCTGCACAGCTTCCGCGTCTTCGACGTGCGTCACAAAAGCCACCAGGATTACCTGAACAGCGACGGCTCCGCCAAGAGCTCCTGCGTATCCAAAGATGTCCCCGACAATGTGGACCTGTCCAAGTTCGACGGCTTCGTGCTCTACGGCAAGCGGAAGCCCATCCTCATGTGCTTCCTGTGCAAGCTCTCCTTCGGCTACGTGCGCTCCTTCGTCACCCACGCCGTGCACGACCACCGCATGACGCTGAGCGAGGACGAGCGCAAGATCCTGGGCCACAAGAACATCTCCGCCATCATCCAGGGCATCGGCAAGGACAAGGAGCCCCTCGTCAGCTTCCTGGAACCAAAAAGCAAAAACTTTCCGCACTCTCTCGTCCCCACTGCTAACCTCATGGGCCCCGGACACAGTTTCTACGGGAAATTCAGCGGCATTCGGATGGAGGGGGAGGAGGCGCTCCCCGCTGGTCCCCCCAGTGCCGCCGCGGCCAGTGCCACGGCCAGCGCCGGCCCCGAGCAGCCCCAGCCCGGCCTCCTGACTCCCAGCACCCTCCTGAACCTGGGCGGGCTCACCAGCTCGGTCCTGAAGACCCCCATTACCTCAGTCCCTCTGGGGCCCCTGGCCTCCAGCCCTACCAAATCCTCAGAGGGCAAGGACTCGGGGGCGGCCGACGGCGAGAAGCAAGACGGGGCCGATCCCGACGGCTTCTCGGAGAAGGCAGAGCCCGCTGAGGAGGAGGTGGAGGAGGAGGAAGAGGAGGAGGAGGATGAGGAGGTGGAGGAGGAGGAGGAGATGGAGGAGGAGGAGGAAGAGGAGGAGGAGGAGGACGAGGGTTGCAAAGGACTCTTTGCCAGCGAGTTGCAGGGCGAGCTGGACGACAGGCCCCCCGGGGAGTCGGGGGTCGCGGCGGCAGGTAGTGGCAGCAAAAAGGACCTTGCTCTCTCAAACCAAAGCATTTCTCACTCCCCCTTAATGCCTAACGTGCTCCAGACCCTGTCGAGGGGCACGGCTTCTACTAGTTCTAATTCCGCTTCTTCCTTTGTTGTCTTCGATGGTGCGAACAGGAGGAATCGTTTAAGCTTTAACAGTGAGGGCCTCAGGCCCGGGGTGGCAGAGGGCGGCCGGAGGCTGGACTTCGCCGACGAAAGTGCCAATAAGGACAGTGCCGCAGCGCCGGAACCAAATGAAAGCACAGAGGGCGACGACGGGGGCTTCGTGCCCCACCCCCCGCACGCCGGCTCCCTGTGCGAGCTGGGGGTGGGGGGCGAGTGCCCGGCGGGCAGCGGCGTCGAGTGCCCCAAGTGCGACACGGTCCTGGGCTCGTCGCGCTCGCTGGGCGGCCACATGACCATGATGCACTCCCGCAACTCGTGCAAGACCCTCAAGTGCCCCAAGTGCAACTGGCACTACAAGTACCAGCAGACGCTGGAGGCGCACATGAAGGAGAAGCACCCGGAGCCCGGCGGCTCCTGTGTCTACTGCAAGAGCGGGCAGCCGCACCCGCGGCTGGCGCGGGGTGAGAGCTACACGTGTGGTTACAAGCCTTTCCGCTGCGAGGTGTGTAACTACTCCACGACGACCAAAGGCAACCTGAGCATCCACATGCAGTCCGACAAGCACCTCAACAACATGCAGAACCTGCAGAACGGCGGCGGCGAGCAGGTCTTCAGCCACTCGGCGGCCGGGGCGGCGGCGGCGGCGGCGGCCGCGGCGGCGGCGGCCGCCAACATGGGCAGCTCCTGCAGCGCCCCCTCGCCCACCAAACCCAAAACCAAACCCACGTGGCGCTGCGAGGTGTGCGACTACGAGACCAACGTGGCGCGCAACCTGCGCATCCACATGACGAGCGAGAAGCACATGCACAACATGATGCTGTTGCAGCAGAACATGAGCCAGATGCAGCACGGCCGCCACCTGGGCCTGGGCAGCCTGCCCGCGCCCGCCGAGGCCGAGCTCTACCAGTACTACCTGGCCCAGAACATGAGCCTGCCCAACCTGAAGATGGACAGCGCCTCCTCCGACGCCCCGTTCGTGATGAGCGGCTTCCAGCTGGACCCCGCCGGGCCCATGGCCGCCATGACGCCCGCTCTAGGTGAGGCCCACACCCTCCCCTCCCCGCCCCCCCACCATGCACCCTCTCCAGGTCCTCCTGGTGCCCGCTGAACCCAGGGCGGACGGGGGTTCAGGGCCCCCGGGCCCTTGCCCACCGCACCTGAGTCTGTGTTCATGCCATGGAGCCGGGCCCTGCAGGGGTGTGGGTGTGTATGTCAGGAGGTGGGGGGGGGGTGCGTTCAAGGGTCATATGTTCCGCCGGACCCCTCGCTCGGGTGGGTGCCTTGGGGTGATTGGTACCAGCTGAGACACTGAGCGCCTCTGGAGCGTGCCGGGGATTCCAGTGGAAGAGTTCCTTGGCTCAACCCTCGGGTTCCTTGGCTCCCTGGGTCGCCCTTTCTGTTTTCCCCATCTTGGGGTCTCTCTGTATAAAAAATCGCCACTGTGATCAGAAACTTTGGAGGGGGGATGGTCTTGGAGGCTCTTCGTTGGTAGGGACTCTAGGACACTGTAGCTGGAGTTTTATTTATTCAAATTCAGAACCATGCTATTTATGGGGGATGAGGGGGGAGGGCTGAGGTTTTTGGGCCTCACTCTGTGATGCTCAGAGAGAGAGACTGTTCCTGGTGGTGTGCTCAGGAGCGACCCCTGGCACTGTGCAGGGGGCATATGCAGTGCTGGGTATCCAACCGGGATTGGCCGGATCCAAGGCAAGCACTTATGCCCTCTCCCACCTTTTCTCTGTCCCCTTATAGACGATTCATGAGGTTATAGCTGGACTCATTGTCTCCACGACAGGAAGTTCTTATTTTTGTCACCGAGGGCTGACTCTGAGTTCTAAGATGCTGGTTCCTTTCGTGTATGGGGCAGAAACGCTAGTGCTCTGGGATCAGTCCTGGCTCTGTGTCAGGATCAGACCCGGCTCTGCTGCGTGTACTCCTGTGTGATCTCTCCAGCCCATGCCAGTGGGTCTTGGGGACCCCTATGGAGAGATGCTGGCCCTGTCCCCAGCTCCATTTTCCACACATGCTTGGTGATGGGTATCATTAGAAATCTGATTGCTCGGGCACAGTAAAGAAGGCACGGTGTGATGCAATGAGAAACGCCTGCCTGCATTCTAAAACGGTGTGTCGGGGACAGGCAGTTGGAATCCCGCTCCCGTCCTGGCTCCCCGTAGTCTCTGAGGCCACGGGGAGGGAAGGTGAGTCGGTGGGTCTGTCTGGACGCTGAGTCCCGCCCAGCCAACTTATGGCCTACGGCTAGGATGGAGGCAGTTGCATTGGAATGTTGAAAACCACACACCTCGATGTCAAGTGGATCAGGAGCACTTATTTTGGGGTGTATGGATGGTGGTCAGGGGGTGCATCTGTTGGTTGAGCTTCCGTCCACCCCTGTCCTACCCACTTTCTGTGCTCGGGTGACGCCCTGGGTCTCATAGCCTCCGAGCCTGGATTAGACTGAACCCCCCTCGCTCCTGCTGACAGGGTGAGCTGTTCTCTGTTCTCCACAGGGCCATGTCAGTGACCACCTTTCTTCCCACCTGGTTTAGGCCAAGGCCAGCACCCGGACCTGCACCCATTGGCATGGTCTTGTGTGGTGGGCTAGTACCTATTGTGCCCACAACTGTGTCTCGGTTCACTTCAGGCGCTTACCCTGCTGCGTGTCTCAGTGTGGATCCTGGAGTTTTGAGCGGTTCTGGAGCGCGGGCCCACAGCCCATTCACTGCAGAGAGAGAGAGAGAGAGGGAGCAGGCTGACAGGCGCCAGTCACAAGCGGGCCCCCTAGAAGGCGCCCCAGGGAAGGCGCGCGGGGCAGGGCAGCAAGACACTCAGGACCCCCTCCTCCCCTCCCATGAAAGAATGGAATCGGGGATTTCTTATCCTCAGGGAGGCAGGTTGTAGAGGAAAGTGAAGTGCAGCGTGGGTGGAATGGGAGACCCGGAGCATAGATGGGTTTGTGCTGGGTCATGGCGAGAGTTTCGTTCCCTCAGAGATCAGCATTTTCTCACTCGGGCTGAATTCAGACCCAGGGGAGGTTTGTGCTTTTAGGCCAAGTGTCCAGGACTCAATAGCCACCATGAGTGACCTATGTGGCCCGTGGTGGAAGTGGCGGCAGGCCTCGCCGGGGGTCTGGGCGACCCTCACAGCCTCATGTGCAGGTGACTCCTGCCATCTCCTTTTTGCCTTTGGATTTGAGGCCACACCCAGTGGTGCTCAGGGTTGCTCCTGGCTCTGTGCTCAGGAAACTCTATGAGTTGCAGAAGGGGCTGGAGCTTGAACCCGGACCTGCTGCATGCAAAGCACATGCTCGGGCCTTCTGAGCCCATCTCTCAAGCGTGAAAAACACAATCATGTCTTTGATGAGCTGCTCGGGTTCTAATCTGTTATGACAAGAGCAAATGGGCTGGTAGGGGGTGGGGGGGGGGGGCGTCCATGGGCCACGCATGCTGGAGCTCCAGTTCTGTCCCCAGCATCGCCTGGCAACCCCCGGACTCCTGGGGACAACCCCGGGGCACAGATCTGACGGTGGCCTCCCAACAAAAGCCGCCAAGCAGTTAAACCCCACGTGAAAGGTCAACTTGAAGTGTCCCTTGGAGCAGCCCAGGTGGCTTGGCTGCAGCCTGGCTGTGTTTGCAGGCGTGCTGGGGTTGGGGGGGGGGGGCTCTCCCCGCAGCCGCCCTGTGGGCTGAGCGGAAGAGCTGGCCACTGTCACTTCCTGCCAGTGCTGCTGTGGACAGCCATGGGCTGGGGAAGAATGGGTGGAGAGAAAGGGGCAGACCCGTCTCTCCGCTCCCCTTTCTCCTCTGGGCCGCCCAGGGCCTCCCCTGGCCTGGCACTTGGGCTCTTGTGGGCACCCTCTGGACACCCAGTGGGGAGAAGAGACCCCTGTCCGTCCCACAGAGGTGGTATCAAGGGGCAGGAATACTGGCCAGCAGGTGCCCATGGCCGAACCATGGCCCAGGAGATGGAACGTGGCCACTCACGTCCACGGTTTCCACACCGTTGCTCAGTGACAGGCATGAGTCACACTCCCAGGAGCTGGCCCCGAAGTGGGCAGGGAGGCGGGCTGTGATGAGGAAGTGGGGACCGTCCCCTCCGGGATCACTGACCTAGAGTGGTGGCCTCGATGTTCATCACTGAGGACTCAGACATGGGATTTCAATCTTCCGTCTATCCGTTGTCCCAGAGCCTTTGGTAGCAAATGCCCACTGCTCCCAGGTGGCAAGTGACCTGCCAGTCCTGTGCGGGGCATTTCAGGCCTCCTGGAAGGTTCCGGAGGCTGCCCGACCCTGTCCCCCATCACTCTTCCCCAGCAGTGCTCCCACGCCCCCCTCCCCCCCTTGTGCCATCCCCCGCTGTCCGGCCGCTTGGACGCTGTCCTGTAAGGAGGTTTGTTGTTGCCTCCTTAGACTGAGCAAGGGGTGAGCTTGAACTTTACACCAGACAACGAGCTTTCTTTCCCCCAAAGAGGGTGCTGCGATGCCCCACGCCCACCCTCCTCAGAGTGTCTGTGCAGTTGAGCCAAACCCAGGAACTGGATTTTTTTGGGGGGTGGGGTGGGCAGCAGGGGTGTTACCTCACGGTGCTTGAAACTTCCTGTTTCCTCCTTGGATCCTGGGTTCAATCTCGGGCTGGGTTGGGGAAGGGCTGGGGGGCTGGGGGATGGTCGGTGTTTCCAAGGGCTGCGGCCCAGGCCGGCCCCTGACTCCCCCTCTTCTCCCTCCGCAGTGGGCGGTGAGATCCCCCTCGACATGCGGCTCGGGGGCGGCCAGCTGGTGTCCGAGGAGCTGATGAACCTGGGCGAGAGCTTCATCCAGACCAACGACCCGTCGCTGAAGCTCTTCCAGTGCGCCGTGTGCAACCGCTTCACCACGGACAACCTGGACCTGCTGGGGCTGCACATGAGCGCCGAGCGCGGGCTGCCCGAGGACGAGTGGAAGGCCGTGCTGGGGGACTCGTACCAGTGCAAGCTGTGCCGATACAACACCCAGCTCAAGGCCAACTTCCAGCTGCACTGCAAGACCGACAAGCACGTGCAGAAGTTCCAGCTGGTGGCCCACATCAAGGAGGGCGGCAAGGCCAACGAGTGGCGGCTCAAGTGTGTGGCCATCGGCAACCCCGTGCACCTCAAGTGCAACGCCTGCGACTACTACACCAACAGCCTGGAGAAGCTGCGGCTGCACACGGTCAACTCCCGGCACGAGGCCAGCCTGAAGCTGTACAAGGTGAGGCCGTGCCACCTGCTCCCGCCAAGCGTCGGGCAGGGGTGGGGGGCGGCGGGGAGGCTGTGTGGAAGGAACCCTGTGCCGTCCTGCTGTTCAGGCCACTCCCGAGTCCCTCCTTGTGGCTGCTGGTGTCGCCTCTTCCTCTCCATCACCGCTTCCCTTCTGCTGACCCTTGTCCTCTGCCCTGTCTGTGCCTCATCTCTCCTGCCCTGGCTGCCCCTGGGCTGGGCAGAATGGTGGCCCTCCCTCCCCTCCCTCCATCTATTCCTCCCCTCCCTCCTCCCTCCCTCCCTCCCTTCCTCAGTTCCTCCTTTCCTCCTTCCATCTCTTCCTCCCCTCTGTCCTCTCTCCCTCCGTCTCTTCCTCTCTTCCCTCCCTTCCTCTCTTCCCTCCCTTCCTCTCTTCTCTTCCCTCCCTCCTTCCCTCCCTCCATCCCTCCCTTTCTTCCTCCTTCCCTCCCTCCCTCCCTCCTTCCTTCCTTCCCTCCCTCCCTCTCTCCCTCCCTCCCTCCCTCCCTCTTTCCTTCCTTCCTTCCTTCCTTCCTTCCTTCCTTCCTTCCTTCCTTCCCTCCCTCCCTCCCTCCCTCCCCCCTTCCTTCCTTCCTTCCCTCCCTCCCTCCTTCCCTCCCTCCCTCCCTCCCTCCCCCCCTTCCCTTTCTCCTTCCTTCCTTCCTTCCTTCCTTCCTTCCTTCCTTCCTTCCTTCCTTTTCCTTTCCCTTTCTTCTTCCTTCCTCCCTTCCTTCCTCCCCCCTCCCTGCCCTCCCCGTTTCCTCACCACTTGACCCCTGCCCTATCCCTTTGCCGGGTGAGAGGTGCCACACTTCAGGGCTCTCTGCTCACCACTTCCTGTCTCCATGGTGTCCCTGGCAGCTCAGCCAGGAGGAGGGGAGATGATGAATACTGGGACTTTGGGGGAGTCGGGTCAGATAAGGGGCCCCCAGACACCTGTTTCCCCTCTTCCGGCCCTCTGCCCCCGGAGCTCCTCCGCCACCGCCCAGGACTGTAAATAGTACTCGCGCTCGCAGGCCGCAGCGCTCCAGACGCGCGTATTGATTTTCACTGGACTTAAAGCCTCACCTTTTCCTCTAATCATCCCATAATGGCTTTAGTATGAACAATCAGGTACAGAATCGTCATCAATCTGCCCAGCCTCCTCCCTCGTGCCCCAGCCTGCCTCCCCCTAGCGTCCCCGTTCCCGGCAGGCCTCCTCCCCGCCACGCCATCGCAGGGTTGCTCTCTGTCGGTTTTCCCACCCAGGCTGATTTTTCCCGGGGGCTTCCCCCACCCGGCACCCACTACACTGTGGGCATGGTCGTTCACGTCCCAGGTGTGGCCTTGCAGGCAGGCGAGAGAGACCCGTGTGCCTGTGGGTGGGACCCCATGGTGATGGGGCAAGGCAGGGGTGAGGCCGAGGGTGCTGGGTTGGCCTCTCGGTGCCCGGCAGGGAGTTACGGGAAGCCCCGGGCCAGCCCCTTCCCCGAAGGGAGCCTGTGTGGTGGTCCTGGCTGTGCTGGGTGGCTCCTTATGTGGCCAGCCCCGGGCAGAGGTCCAGACTGGCCACAGGGTGGTGCCAATGTGGTCACGAAAGCCTGCGGGGAAAACCCACGGAGAAAAGGGACCCAGCTCAGCAGAAGGACACAAAGGGCTCCGTGCAGACACGGGGGTCGCTGTGACTGAGGGGGCCCATTTGAAGGTGGCCTGGCCAGCGGCCACCCATCACCCGCCCTGTGGAGGGAGATGAGGCCCTGGAGATGCTGAAGTGTGCGGTGTGGGCTCTGGCTTCTCTTTAGAAGTCTGGGGAGCTTCTGGAGGGTGGGTCCCGCAGGCCACCACAAGGACCACGAATGGCAGGGACGAGGCGGTTTCCAGAGTGTTCTCCTGAGCCCTCTCCGGGCACACATCTCCCTTGACCCTTGTTTCCTCTTCTTTTCCGGGAAGGGTAGTGGGGTGTGGGGATGTCCCGGCAGCAGGCCAACAAGGAGTCTGGTGGTTGCATGAGGGTTTCCGAGGGAGAGGGTCTGCCTGGGCCACACAGGTGCCCGGCCCGCACCCTGGCAGTGTTTGTGGACAGCATGATTCTTGGATTGAGCCTGGACCTGTGCTATCTCATTGGCACCTTTTTTTTTAAGATGGGGGAATGCCTGTTCAAAAGAAAAGAAGTGTTGGGGTGCAGGGTTGAAAGTGGGGTCTTAGCACTGCACTTGGCAAGTGTGCCCTGGGGAAAGGGATGCTCTGGGGAGGTGTCACCTCACGGGCCAGCAGGGGTGTGTGCAGCTTCATTGGGGGGCAGTGTCCTGGGTTGTGGGAGGAGGGGGGTCCGGGGGAGCTCTCCCAGCCCTTCCTGGGGTGACAGCCAGAGCGGGGGCTGATGTTTCTGTGCCCTTGCCTCCTGCCTGCTGGCTCCTTCCTGTGACTGAGACAAACTTCTCCGGACTCACCCAGGCTTTGGTGAGCTGGGGGACGGGCAGTGGGGATCGGAGGTGGGTGGGGAACCCACTTTTCTCTGGGACCTGGCGTGGCCTGCAGTAAATGGAGATTGATTGCATGTTATTTTTCCTCTTGCTAATGTAATCCATTAGCCCAGCACATGCATAATCAGTTTAGAGCACAGTTAACTGGATGTAATCGAGTTCTTTACTGTCTGCTAGAGAAACAGCTCCAGATGCTGCTGACCCAGGGAGGCCCCCCCCATCCCAGCCCCCCCCACCCCACCCTCGGGTTCCTGGCACCCGATTCCCCACGGTCAGGGAGTCTCCCTAACTCTGCTCGACGTTCTGCTGCGTCTCCCCCCCCCCCCCCCCCCCGTGGCCCCGGGGAGTTTGACGCCCCCTCCTGGTGCCCCCCTCCGCCTGGTTCACTGCCTGAGAGAGGGCCGTCTCAGGAAAGGCAGGCAGGTGCTGCTCTCCAGCTTGGTGCATGACCTTGTGCCACTGCAGGGGCACATCTTGGGCTCCTAGAACTCAGGGCCCGTGTGGCTGCAGTGGAGACTGTGCCTGACCTGCTCCCCTGCTCGTCTGCGACAGGAAATCTCCCAAACTCAGGGCTGGAGTGATAGCACAGCGGGCAGGGCGTTTGCCTTGCACGCGGCCGACCTGGATTCAATTCCCAGCATCCTATATGGTCCCCCGAATACTGCCAGAGTAATTCCTGCATGCAAAGGCAGGAGTAACCCCTGTGCATTGCTGGGTGTGAACCAAAACAGCCTAAAAAAAGGAAAAAAAAATCTCCCAAACTCTGGTGGTCACATCTCCAGGGCCCACATCAGGCTTGTGCTGAGGACTGGATCAGAGCCCTTTGCACATGGACAGCAGTTACTGCCGGGTTCCCGGGGCCCAGCATGGGGAAGGAAAGGGGGGTGTGCTTCTTGGGGTGCCGGGGTCCAGCGTGGGGAAGGAAAAGGGGGTGTGCTTCTGGGGACCTGCGTGTCCCCCCAGGCAGCAGCTGGAATTCAAGTTCTTTCTCTATGATGTTCAAAAGTGTGACACCAGGGCCCAGGTGGGGCGCTTGCTGTCAAGCTGGGTTCCATCCCCAGGGCTCCATGTGGTCCCTTGAACCCCACCCAGAGTGATCCCAGAGCACAGAGCCAGGAGTATGCCCTGAGCACTGCCAGGTGTGGCCCCCAGACCAAAACCGAACAGCGCGAATGCCTGGAGGGCTGTGTCTGGCTTCTGCCCTCAGGGCTCCCTGCCTGCACCCCTGGACCTGCCCCCCTCCCCCACTCCGGCCGGCCTGGGAGACAGGCCTGTGCATTGTGCCACTGGTGACCCTGGAGCGGGAGGAGAAGCAGATGGCGGGGAAGGTGCTTGTCTGTCACTCGGTGGCCCGCGCTGGCCTTTCTCCTGTCACATGCTTGTGCCTTGCCAGCCAGCTGCCCTCGGCGGCGTCCTGCAGCCTTTTCCTGACTGCTATGTGGCCCACTTCCGACCTGGTTTCCACCCTGCAGCCCCTTCGTCCTCCTGGCCGACCCTCGGTTTCATCCTGTGCCTCTTCTCTCCCACTCTGCTGTGTGAACGTCACCAGTGGCCCCCTTGGTATAGCCACTCCCTCTCCCTGTGAGAAAACTGCACCCCGGCAGTCACCCCACCCAGATACGGGGAGGGCGCCCCTGGCCAGTGCACATCTCAGCCCACACCAAGCCGGCTCAGTGCTCCACGTGGCCCTGCCCAGGGTTCCCGGGGACAGGGGTGGGGTGAAGGGTGGGAGGGGGGCACCGGGGTCAGGGGATAGGGCTGCCGAGTGGGCTGGGGGGGGAGGCGCACACACCTGCCAGCTATTAGAATCTGGTTTTCACTTTGATGTTTTTCTTCACCTGAGAGTTATTGGGATGGAAATCCATCAACTTCAGCAGATAGATTAAGACCCCACTAGAATCTATTACTCAAACAGTTCCCAGCTGAGGGGCGTTTGATTGGGCCCAGAGCAGGGGGATTGTCGGGGCGCGGGGGGGTGGGATTTGATCCTTGGCTTCACTTTGGCACATAAAAGGCTGTAGGGTGGTAGGGGGGGGACGGGGAAGGGGGTGCAGCTCTCCCGAGAGCTGAAATTAGGAGAGGGATGGGGACACCCGCATGTCCAGACCTGCCTGGAGCCTGGGGGGCTTGCAGGCAGGATGCGATGACCTCTTCCTAATCCCGATGTTTCATTTGGGGGCTTCGCTCATTTTGCTACATTTTCTCCCAGGGTCTTACTCTCCAGCAGGGCTCTAAATTCACCCTGCAGGGGATGGAGCAGAGAGTGGGTGTGCCCTCTGCCTGCTCCTGGGTACTGGGTTCTTCAGGAGACAGCTGTGTGTATGTGCATCCTTCTGTGGTGACTGGTGGCCTCTGTCCTGTTCAGGAAGCGATGGGCAGAAATCCAGGGCTGCCCCCGACCCCATGCCCCTGCTCTGGCCCTGGGTCTCTGCCCCCGTTGTCCACGCAGGTGCAAGTCCCTTCTGGTTCCCAGAGGCCTTCTGGAGCACATTCCCTGTAGTCTTGTTCTTGTTAAAAATAACAATTAAGG